GGGAAAGACTTGCTCTCTGCAGGGAGCGCAGCCAGTGGGAGACTTTGTCAGTGGGCTGCCTGTGTTAGCACAAAGAGGAGGCGTCTAGCTCAGGTTGTTAGCTACCTCCAGGGCTGGGGAACCTGACCTTGTGGGCTTTGTAGGCTTACTCACATTGCCTGTGCCCTTCGCGTTCTTTCTGACTCTAGCTTTTTAGGTTTGTTGTTTTTTTTTTTTTTTAATAAGATTTATTTATTTATGCATACAAGAACTGGGGTATAGGCCAGAGGTGTGGTAGTGGGGTGAGGGAATTAATTCCCCAGGGACAGAGGGAGGACAAGAATGGGTAGCTTGACTGAAATACACTGCTGAGAGGCGCAGTGGGTGGGTCAGGAGGTCTGCCACACCACAGCTCCCTGACTGGGTTTCAAACTTGTGCTGCAGTGGCTGTGGACAGCCTCATAGTGCTGCGCTTTACCCCGTTGCACCACCAGGGAGGGCCCAAGCTTTGTAGAGTATGTAATGACCTATCACATGAATCAAATTTTATCTCTTCTAATTCTAAACATTAAGAATTAAAACTCAAGTCAAAAAATTTTTATGACATTAAGTGCAGCAAATAATACATTACAATTTATTTGTGAAAGTTAGAGACTCATAATCAAAATACAGAAACCCCATAATTGCTCTGTGATTCCATGAGCAAAGAAGCATCAAGAAAGGCCAATAATACTCGTGACTTTGTGGCTAGGTGGTTACTGGTGTGAAGCCCGAAGAAATATCTGTACATTGGGAAGAGTGTGTGATTAATGGGCTGGTTTATAAATCAATACATGAGCGTTTGGTCGAGTTTTTAATTGTGTACATTAAGATCCCAGTATCTGTCCTTAAAAATAGATAGAGTTGATGTTTTTGTTGAAGAAGAGGTTTTCAACAGAAAGGCATTTTGAGAGTTATTTAAGTTTCCAAATACACGTGTATCTTTAGTTAGAAAGCAGTTACATTCTTCCAGAGATTTTAGTAGAAAGGAACCGTAGCAGTTAGCAGTTATCCATTGTCAGTGTCTCCATGACACAAGTCCTCAGAGAGCCCACTTAGTGTTCTTGGGGTGGCAGAGGGGTTGACCCCCATTTTCTTAATCTTATTCTTCTCTGTCTACTTCATTCTGCAGTTAACAGCAGTCTTTACAGAAAGAGAAGAAAACTGCCTCCTTAAAGGGCAGAAAAAAAGGAAGTTAATAAATGGTTTATTAGTAAGTTAATAAAAGGTATTTTGACTTCTGAACATGTATCAGTTAAAGGGAACAACTGAGTAATAGAATGAATTTAGTAAACAGTAAAATTAATAGATTATTAATTTGCTTTTTCCTGATTTGGAAAATGCCATTTTAGAGAAAGAACTTTTACTTGTGTGATTTGCAAAAGTTCAAAGTACATCACGTTACCAGTTTGTAAGGGCTGCGACATTGCTTTTGGGGACCATATACGAGTGTTTTCTTGGTTTCTCTGAGGGATGAGCAAACCGGTTCTTTGGAATGGCTGCTCTGCTTCCATTTTAAAATAAAATAAAAAGGTCAGCTTTCACAATTTCAAAACTTACTGGTACGTTTTTATAAAGGAACACAGTACCAATAATGGGGAAAGTTTAGAAATGACCTAGATGAATAATAAAAACAAATTTGCAGAGGCTGTGACCTTGCCGACTGTGGAATGCAGTTTGCAGGGTGGGAGCGGGGGTCGGCGGCCTCCGCCCCCTCGGTTGCGTAGATTAGGCAGTTGAGACAGCATCAGGCAGGTGAGCAGGGGAGTAGACCCATTTATTACATGCATACTGGGAATTTCATAGAGAATTGGAATTCCATTTTCAGTGGGGAGGATGAGGGTAGTTACCCTGAGCCAGGACGGGGTAGGCACTCACCTGATGAGAGGGGGCAGCAGCTCACCTGATGAAAAGGGCGGTGCTCTGTGGATATGTTTGCCCTGCCCAGATGGGCTTCTCAGATAGAAAGGTTATTCTGGAGATGACCCTAAATTTGGGTAATGCCCTGAGGGGGGGTGAACTTGTCTTGTGCCTGCTTAAAACTCCATTGACCTTTGCTCGAGATAATCTGACCAGACTGGGAGGCCTGTCCTGAGCACCTTCATTGGGTCTTTCCGGAAAATTGGAAGTAAAAGTTCTCAGAGCTACTGGGCTGTCAGAAAAGTCACCATATTTTTTCTATGTTTTTCAAGCAAAACTGTGTCATGACTTTCCCCCACATATTACATTTACTCCAGAGCTGCATCTGATGTTGGGGCAGCTCAGGCTTCTTTCCCTTCATTTCTCTCCTGTGCCACCACCACCCCTAGTCCTAGCAGCCCCAGGGCGGGCCTTTCTTTCTTCTCAGCCAGCTTCTCCTTTTCTCTTTCCAAGCCTGTTCCACCCGTCTTTGATTTGCTTCCTTTTTCATGTGTCTCCTAAAACCCTTGTCCATCGCTAGGAAACAGCGTTCTGAACGGTCCCTGTCGCTTACCACTTACCCTTTGCTGTATACAGCGGGACTTAGTGACACAAAGAAATGGTGGCGCCTTTTACATGGAATGGGCGGGCGGGTTCTCCTGGCTTTGCTTTCAGCTGGGAAGCTTGCTGAGTGCTGGTCACAGCGGAAACCACTGTCCTCGCTGGGCTTTCACTCGAAGGCGGCCGGCTGGGCCCCCTCTCAGGGTGGCAGCAGCCGTTCTAGAGGGTAGAGCTTGCACATCAGGGCTCCCTTTCTGATGTCATTGGCCAGACTCATCCTCACTGTGGAAGATGCCCCCAGGGTGTGGATGTGGAGAAGGGGTTCTTTGAAGCCCTAACAGTCCACTATAGTAGAATACTTTTGTCACCTCTTAAAATGCCTTCTAGAAACCTGCCTTTCTCATCAACACCCTGTTCAAAGCACTTTGTGCTTTGAAATCTCCCCTATCTCTCAGAACCAGAGGGCAGGGAAGTTACACAGAGTTCGGTGCTAATGTTCTCACACAGCCTTACTTGAAAAAATCCCATTCACCACTGTTTAAGTTAACCCAATGTCATTTTAGTACCCACTTATCATACTCATCATTTTCTGTTACCCCTTGCCTTGCTTATCTTCATACAGCCAGGCATTGCTTAACAACTGAGATATGGTCTGAGAAATTCATTTTTAAGTGGTTTCGTCATTATGCAAAAGTCACATGCAAGCTGAGATAGTCTGGCCCACTACGCAGCCAGGCTCTGAGGTATAGACTGTTGGCAGCCACTGTGTGTGTGTGTGTGTGTGTGTGTGTGTGTGTGGTGTGTAGACTGCTGGCTGGCTGTGTGTGTGTTGCGTGTGTGTGTGTGTAGTTGGCCTGCACATTGCAGTGCTGTGTGTGTGTTGTGTGTGTGTGTGTGTGTGTGTGTAGTTGGCCTGCACATTGCGGTGCTGTGTGTGTGTAGTTGGCCTGCCCATTGCGGTGCTGCCTGCTGTCCCTAACACAGTGCCTCATACATAGTGTTACATGTTTTGATATGACTCTTGAAAACCAGCACCAGAGGTTTTTGTTAACTGTCTGGCTAGATAAACTCAAGATCAACTTCTTTTAGTTTGTACAGGCATTTTTTATTTTCATTGTCTCATGTTGCCTGGCCCTCTTACACTGTATCCCTGATTTACCTTTTTTAGCAGGAAAGGAAAAGTTCATTCTGTTTTAAACAGTTTTTATGTAAATCAGCAGATGCCATAAAGGGTTTGATGGGTTAAAGTTAACCCAACTTTATTTCAAGACTTGAGATGCTAATTCCCAGGAATCTCAGCACTTAATCTTTTTTTCTAGCCTTCCTCCCTCCAACCTTTCTTTATCCACTGATAATATAAATTCATGAGGAAAGGTGTTTTTTTCCCCAAGTCTCCATCATCTAGAACAGTGCCTAATTATTTGTTGAATGAATAAAAAAAATGGAATAAAACGGTAGATATTTTTAAGTAAAAATCAGTTACTAAAAGTGTGCATGATCTAATCCGTGTGTTTTTTTAATTATATAGATATGTATGCCTAGAAGTTAGCTCAGAAGTCCCATAATAAAATGTTAAAGCGACTCTCTGTGAGCAGCAGGGACAGGGAATAAGCGCAAAGAGTTGGTCAGGAGACTTCTTTCCATTCTGAAGCATATGTTAGATTTATGCTATTTTAATTTTTAAAATATTCTAAAATAAAAAGCCAATATAAGACAGTTTGTCATTTCCTTATAGAAGTAGAGAGATGAAGAAATGACTTGAGAATTTGCCTTGTCCTTGTGTGAAAACATATAGCAGATCCTATGTATGATTTTATACCCTCTTTTTTCACTTTGTATTACATTTCAGACATTTTAAAATCATTGAAAATTATCAAAGCTCACAATTAATGAATATTGGATTAGATGGGTGAATCAGAATGTGTTTCTACTTTATGGTTTAACATTGTAGTTATAAATAAGACCTCAGGAAACAATTTTATTCATAAAATCTTTGTGATGCTTTGCTCATTTCTTTAGGAATGATTCATGAAAGTAGTATTGATTTAATCATGTTATTGATATCACTAGAGTAATTAAAAATAACAGTCACATGAACTTTAATTGGTATTCTGAACAATACTTGCTGCCTTTGTTTGATGCTTTGCAAAGTGATGCAGTATTTGAAAATGTACAGTCTCACCTCAGTGATGCCTGTACTTCAGCTATAGCTTATATTTTGTGGCAATCAGATATATAATTTTCCTTCTTCAGTGTTTGATTTTTGGATGTACTTGGCCTAAGTGGGGATTTAATGACGTTTTTAATTAAATGCTGTCAATGACCAGTGCCTACACAAAAATCAGAACGCCATCAGGGCCCAGCAACCCTGTGGCGAGCGTAATGCACAATTGGTCTATGGTGAGCTACTTTGTCGTTACTAGAACAGATTTTCTTGAGGAGAGACACACTGTATGAGGCGAGGTAACATCACCCGATATCCTGTGTGCTGCTAACGTTGGCTGTTGTTCTGCTGCTCATAGGTCAAAGTCCTGCACAACCAGCTGGTCCTGTTCCACAACGCCATCGCTGCTTACTTTGCTGGGAATCAGAAGCAGCTTGAACAGACACTGAAACAGTTCCATATCAAATTGAAAACTCCTGGGGTGGATGCCCCATCTTGGCTTGAAGAACAGTAAAGTCACGCCTGGGAGGGGGAAAAGAAAGTCATGTTATATTTCTAAACACACGTCGTAGAATTAAGCCGAGCCCGGGGAAGAGAGGAGTGACCGCCATTTAGTAATTCTTGCACAAACAGCTTTAACTTCTCCCTTTTTCATATTTTACCAATCGAGCTGTTAAATTTGATGGGAAGGTGGGTGGTTTTAATGTAGACGTAATTTCTATAATCTGAAGACAATAATTTTCCTTTTTTGAGAAATCCTTTTGTATTGTGAGGGTTGGTGGCTACTTCTGTAGTTTGAAACACCAGACACAGATTTGCACTGACAAGATAAAAATTCAAGGCTTTTGGTCCTGGAAGTGAGGGCCAGTTGTAACTTTTCCAAAGGGAGGTTTACATGATTTGTATCAACATCAGATATTTTATATATGAATATATTAAACATCTTTAAGAGATTCATTTTCATGTATTGTCTTAAAAAGCAACTATTTTGCAAAGTAAAATTATATGGTCCCCCTGCAGCATCCGCAGAGGCAGCAGCTCTGGGGAAAGGCTGGCCGGCCTGCAGAGTTGTGGCAGATGCCTTCTGTAAAATGATCAGACTCCCTTTAAGACACAGGCCCCTGCTGGTTTGGTGAGGCTTTAGGCTTAGGAATCTGCGTCACCTGCTGTCATTGGCCAGCAGTTGTTTCAGCAGTTTGTTTTGATTCTTAATGAAACCTGCTTTAGGGAATTTTGTAACAGGTGTTGTGGAAACAGAAATTCTTGACGGTTTCTAGAGTAAAACTCTATGCTTAGAAATCTAGTTTTTGGGTAAATTCCATTTGATAGACGTGAATTCCTAAAACAGCTTCCATTGACTTCCATATGTAACACTACCAGTGAAGCCTTAAATCACAGATACGTGCCTTCTCAAAGATAGTAATTCTTACTCAACCGATGTACATAATCCATAAAGAAACTCCTTTCAGATAATGTTTGCTGTGTCAGTTCCTTCCCGATATAAATGTTTGGTTTCTTTGTATTCGTTAAACTACATGTAAAATTTATGGTGAAACCAACTTTTGAGTTAACTGTTAGGTTTTTCTTCATTCCTTTTGCTAAATGAGAAGAGGAAGGAAATTTTTCACTGGGGGAATGAAAAGGAATCGGGACAGTGTGGTGGCTCAAGGAGAAGGATTGGGAAGGCCAGTACTGTCTGCACGGCTCAGCACCTTTGGGCTTGTGTTACTCCAGCTGGCCTGTCTGCTGCCTGGTTCTATCGGTAAGGTAAACCTTTTTAATGGAGGTTTTCTTGATTTTTGTCATGGACTTAAGTTAATATTTTGAATGGTATTTTTTTCACCTGTTCATGTCTTTTGTGTTGAAATGAAGTACTTAAAATTACTGTTATATGTGCATTTTGTGGACTGTAAGATTTGTTACGTATGTTCAAATGCCTGGTAGCTGGCTTTCTAACTAACATGCCTGTTTTCAGTGCTTCATACAATGTAATGTGATTGTAAAACATAAACCTATTTTAAATCATTCCCTCCTGTATATTTGTACTCTGAAAGAGCCTTATATTATTCTTCCAGCAGAATTACTACTTGTAATAGTCCCTTTACATTCTCCAGAATGTGCCTCTGGTGTGAAGTTCAGATTCTTAATAAAAGCGTTTGCTGCAGCACCTGTTTCTCCTGCTCTTGATCATTTTAAATAAGAAGCACCGGTTTGGAAATTCTAAGGATACCTGAGATTTGTCTTTTCTCAACTTTAATAACAATAACTAAAAATGGTGCCGTTGTCACTTATAATCATTGTTTCATCTCAATAACTTAGTCTTTCCCCTCAATATCTCTTTTGGGAACAAAACAGAACCATGCTTGCCACAGTTCAATAATAATTGTACTACCTCAGGAATTCAAAAGTTTCATGGGTTAATGAATATTCAGAATAAAGATATCAGTGATTCTGGCTAGTGGGTAAATGTGCAAAGAAACTAAGTAAACTGGCATTAGCCTGTGCTAGCTTTGTTAGGAAAAGCAGTTCATACTCATCATAGAAAATTAGAAGAAAAAATTTTTAATGAAGATAAAAATAAATACCTTCTCAATAAGTACTACATGAACCCACTAATTCCTGAAGTCACTGACCATTGATAATAGAGACTGTGGTCAAACATCCTTTAACGTGTATCCATGCATCTCTGTATTCTTACCTGGTTACTGCCTTAGGTTAGATTCTCCGAAGTGAAATGATTCCTCAAAGTAGATACACTTTTCAGACTTTGCTGTATATTGGCAGTTGGCTTTCAAGATTTTTCCAGTTTACACCTCCAAGAACACATACATGTTGCCAGTTTAGCATACTCTGCATGAAAGAACATGATGCAATAAACAGGGCATCAGCTTATAAATGTATTAAGTGGAAAAGGAAATACAGGAAAACAAAGGCTCAACAGTTCAGTTTTGGGAACTTTGAGGGCAGGGGATAGATGAAAACAGCGGTTTTCTATCATTGAAATAGAAATTATTTAAGAAAAATATCCCACTGAAGATCAAGTCCATGAGATTGAACGCTTCATCCTGTTAGAGGAGAAACTGATCCATATTAAATTTATCATTTTATTGGAGTAAAATAAACTGGGGGTGGGGGGGTGGACTCTACTGTCCAGAAGACAAGGAAGCAAAGCAAGGAAATGATGTGGTTTAGTGGTTCCTGTTGTCTTTAGGGTCTGACTTCTTAACTTTGAAGCCTTCCCGCTTAGGTTTTGATTTCCTTAAATAGCTAGGTAAGGCACTAAGGCCTCCGCAACCCAATGCTTCCAAACTGTAAGTCCCAAGAAGGACCAGGGTCAAAGCAGTGTAGCTGCAGGCCTAACTATGCAGCGTGTTTTCTGTGTTTCATGCACACTGTTGTCATTGGGGCTTATTTCATAGAGTGTGAGAAGATTCCTTAGAGACCCTTTGACACTTTTTTGAAGACATGACAATCCCAAAATATGTTAAACTAACTTAGCCTATTGCCATTCCTGATGGAATGTAATGCCTGATGTGGACTTGCAACTGAATACATGAATTCTTTAAATTCTGCCATTTCAATTGCTTAATTAAATCAGTGTGGCAAATGTGTCATTTCTTCTAAAGTTAGATCCTTCATCCCTCAATTCTAACCAAATTTAGGCATTTAGAAAATAGGATTCCCCCAGTAAGATGACGCATCTTTATATTGGCTAAGACTATCATCCTGTGGCTATTTTCCGATCACAAGAACAGTTAGGCTTTGCTTTAGTGCAAAGCTTTTTCAAAGGCCATGGGTCCTTTACTATTTTACAATCTAGCAAGTCCTATTAAGTAGAATGAATAACAAGGCAAACAACTTCCCTTTTTTGAGGACTTTCGTTCAATTCTGTGTTCACACTTGTAGGTTTCCTGTCCAACAGGTTTCCTGACATAAATGAAGCTTTATAAGAAACTGCCAAGTGGACCTTATAATATACAGGAAATGGTGAAGTTCAGCTTTGTTTTTGTGAAACAAAGTGGACTCTTCAGGATTTGTGTGTTTTAAGGGGGACTGTTTTCCTGGTGAGAATTCTGACGTGGAACGAAGAGACTGGCCTTTGGGAGGGAAATTGGATTCAGTGTGAGGAGAGAACTCTTCCCATGCAGTTGACTGATTGACACTCAGAGCTAGACATTTCAATGACTTGTTCATGAAACATATGTGCACATACTCAAATCAACCACACTTTGTCTTGTTTGGGCCCAATTTGAGCTTTCCATGAACCTCATCAAAAATTCCCACTCTTCCGTACTATGGTTTCTGATGAATTCCTTATTGATACGGAGGTGAAAGAGGCGCAACATACGAACATATGGTGTGATCTTGAAGCAGCTTTCCACACGGAGACTTAATACACTTTGCTTTTGTTCCAAGTACTCACGTATCTTAGGGGTGAAATGCACACCTAACTGGCACGGGGGTGTGTAAGGAAGAAAATGTAAACCCGGACTGTCTTTGCTGTCGTGGCTCTTTGATTATTGCCGGTCTAAAGAAAAAGCCAACTCTCACTGTAAAAATCATGACTCTGCTGGGCCCTCCCTGGTGGCGCAGCGGGTTAAAGCACAGCACTGAGAATCTAAAGCCGCCTTCGCATGAGTTCGATCCCCACATGTCCTGGAGGTGACCACATGGCCCAGCAGACCTCTCCTGACCCGCCCGCTGCTCCCCTCAGCAGTGTACTTCATCGATCTGCCTGTTCTGCTCCCCACTCTGTCTCTGGTGAATCTGCTCACCCTCCGCATCTCTGGCCTGTACCCCAGTTCTGTATGAATAAATAAATCTTTAAAAAAAAAATCATGACTCTGCAATGACTGAAGTAGTATGGGGAGGGGCTGTGGAGGGAGAGAGGGTGGCTTGACTTCCCTGAAAAGTTTTTAAATTACGAAGTTTTTAGAATAATAAATAAAAGGTGTCAAATTATTACATATGCTACTTTTATCCTTCCCCCAGATGATTTCTAATGCTCTATTAGGAAGCCTTTTATGAAAAAATTTTCTGCAACTCATTGGAATTCTTTCCTTTAAGGAACATATACTGAGAACACTAAGCTCTTAGGAAAGCCAGGGCGGGTGCTTTTCTATTCACCTTTATCCCCAGAGCCTGTCTGCTCAGTTTTTCCTTTCAAAATTCAAATGTAGAAACACATGTGGTGGTTGCACTTGAGTTACAGAAAGGGCAGTATACTTAACACATTCAGAATTCCTGCCGGTGTTAGACAAGGCTGGCTACGGAACAGCCGATTTGAAAATGGAGAAATAACCATACAATTAGAAAAATAACCTTCACAACCCCCACAGAAGCGGTTGTTCAGACAGGGATCGCCGCCAGGTGCTGAAATCATTAGAAGGAGGATAGGAAAGGTGCATGACTCCCAAGCACCCCACCTTACTCACCGTGAGAAAGGAAATAGTCCCATTTATAAGCGATTTGTGCTTATCACTAATAACCTGCTAACCACGTGCCTCCAGATAAAATCCAAGATAAACCAAGCTGCTGCAAGGTCAGCCTTGGTCTTTGCAAAAAGTCACTAGAGAAAAAATGTCAGAAACTTTGTTTTAAAAGAAACTTTAGATCACAGTTCAAAAAATAGCTACATGAAACATTTGGGGTACAACTGAGTACTGTGAACTTGGTGTATACTGGGGGTCTTCTGTCACCGCTTGAGGTGTGCTGGGTGGTGGTGTTGGGAGCTGCCTCGCAGCACTGGCAGGGAGGAGGCGTGTTGTCTGCGGCTTACTCAACCACTTCAATAAAAATTGCTGTGGCGACTTACACTGCTGACAGTATAGTGCACATGGCTAACTTTTAATAACTCTGTTTTTCATCGAAAAGGATGTCACAAGCCAGGTCAATTGCCTTTAATTCACACTTCTTAGATTAATAAAATAGCTTAAAGAACTCAAAATAATGGATATTTTCATTGTTCTCAAATTCTGTTTCCTGTCCCTGCATGGCTAGTTTTGGTCAGAACAAAGTCCTGTAGGTTGAATTTGTCTAACTAATTTCCATCAATCATAGAAACAGAAAAAGCCCAGGTGATGTTTCAAGAGTTGGGTTTTTAATCATGGCAATGGTTACTATATAATCATCCCATCAATTGAGTTGAAAAAACTCTGTGTAAGCATGAAACGGTCTGGAGTATTTGCCAAACACCGGCCCTGACACCCAGGGGCCTCTCAGCGCCCGAGCTCACTCAAGAGGCCCACATGGTCGCAGAAGTGGGTCGCTAGCACCTTGCACTGGGCTCCAGCAGCCGAGGCGGACACAGCCTTAACTCCCCATTTAGATCTCGGATGGTGCTGCCTTTCTTTTTTTTAAGGTGTATCATTTTTATTTATTTATGCATCCAAGAACTGGGGTACAGGCCAGAAGTGCAAGGAGTGAAAGGTAACCAGAGATGAATGGGGAGCAGAGCAGGCAGATGTACTTAAATACACTGCTGAGGGGAGCAGCTGGCAGGACAGGAGGGTCTGCTGCGCCATGTGGGTCGGCTCCCTGGTCGGGGATCGAACTCAGGCCACTATGGCTGATGGTAGCTTGATACTGCTGAGACTTTAACCCCTGTGCTAGCCGGGAGGCCCCCTCCTATGATGTCGCCTTTTATAAAACAATCAGTCTTTATGTTCTCTCAACTTGCTTTCCCTAGGGGCTCAATCTAGGGCCCCCCCCCTCGTGGCACAAGGGGTTAAGTCTCAGCACTGTGAAGCCATCCACAGCCAGGGAGCTGACCCACATGGCGCAGCAGACCTCTGTCTCCTGCCCTGGTCCCCTCACCTATGTATTTCAGTGGATCCACCTGTTCTGCTCCCAACTCTATCTCTGATGAATCCTCCCACCCCTTCCCACCCCACTGGCCCAGCTCTTGTATGACTAAATAAATAAAATAAGTCTTCTTTAAAAAAAGAAATGTTCACTATTTTCTTTGTGACCTTAGTTGGCACACCCCCACTCCATGAAGCCAGCCGTACTATAAGAGAAATTAGTCACAAATTACAAATGAACAGATTGATGTTTAATGATAAAACATCTTTTTTTTTTTTTTGAGCTATAAGCTGAGTGGTTCATTTTTCCATGGAACACATTTCTTACTTGAAAGACTGACTGATAGAAAAATTGGTTATCCCG